GTGCATTATTTACATTATTCAGACTATTGCCCTCATCTTTGTCGCCATATTTATTACAACGTTTCGGCGGTTGGAATGTCGAACTGAACACTTTATTTCGCTCACTGGGGTAGACTGTTCTAGTTCCACTTGCCATGTTTAATGGATGTCAGTTATCAGTTATCTCCTGTTAATTCCCCTCTGGAAGTTCTCCACTGCCTTAACCGGGTATTTAATTTACACATTTTGGGTCCTGTCACTGAATTTAACCAACGCCTTTATCCACTGTGCCATGTGTCCTTGAGAACTGACATCCATTAAACATGGCACGTGGAACAGTTTACCCCAGTGAGCGAAATAAAGGGTTCAGTGCGACATTCCAACGACCTGAAGAAGGCCGGAGCGTACAACGGCCGAAACGTTGTAATAAATATGGCGACAAAGATTAGTACAATAGTCCGAATAATGTAAATAGTGTATATAATACCTCATCTCAGAAATATAGACAGATACTGAAAGGCCGAAACGTTGTAATAAATATGGCGACAAAGATTAGTACAATAGTCCGAATAATATAAATAATGTACATAATACCTCATCTCAGAAATATAGACAGATACTGAAAAGCCGAAACGTTGTAATAAATATGGCGACAAAGATGAGGACAATAGTCCGAATAATGTAAATAGTTTTATCATATAGCCTCACTTCGTTTTGAAATTATGGAAAGTACTTTTCAATCGGAACTATAAACACTTTATGATAATCGTAAAGAGGGTATGAAAAGTACCAAATTAGAGATACTTGAAAAGAAAAATTGATGGCATCATTTAAAATGGCGGATCGTCCACTGGCATATCTCAACATTCGCTAACTGAATTGGCATTGGCATTTTTCAGCATAGATTCATAAAAGAATTGCTCTCTTCAATCGCGCCAGTGATAACATCCCAGACAGATCTGAAAGTCGCTCGCCTTGTAAAAACGGCAGATGATTCTATACTATATTTTGATCGCCACGAATCTGTACAAGTATTGCATCAAATATACCGTATGCACTTTTGTAATATGGTGAAAGCGACCTCCACCCGTTGAGGCCTGCAAACACCCCAAAGATGCTTCAGGTGGCAAGTGAATATGTGATGTAAGGTCTTATTTTGGTATGTGGAGACAGGGGGAAGAATTGTCTATTAAATCTGAATGTGGAAAGAAAAACAAAAAAAAAGTACTAAATAAAAATTAGTTGCAAAAAATGAAATCAGTTGAGAATAGGTTGATGGTCAGAGCGAGCTTTGAATAACTTAGGCCAGGGGTGGGGGAGCTTGAACACGTTTTGTCTCTTGCCCACTTACGCATGGGCCTGTAGTGAGTACAAAATAATAATAACTCCCTTTACCCACTACCTTCAAATTCAGTCGAGCTGAGGAAAAAGATGGAAAGAAATTCGCGAGCCTATGTGAAATTTTCTTTGGACCAATGAAAACCTAGTGTTCACAGAAATTAGCTGTTGAGCTAAGAAGAAAGAAAAAACGTCGCAAGCCTATGCTAAATTGCTTTCGGACCAATGAAAACCTTATTTTCGCAGAAATTAACTGTTGAGCCAAGAAAAAGAAAGAAAAGAAAATAGCGAGCCTATGCTAAGTCCTTTTTTTTAATATAAAATGAGAAAAAAATTAAATTAACAAGAGAAATGTGTTTGAAGTAATGTGAAAAGTTTCGTTTTTGTTCACGCATCCAGGGTTAAAGATTTTGCCAGTGTAAAATTAATCGCCAATTATATTATCGGTCTTTTAACCAAGCACGTGGCATGTCAAAGAATTTTCTTTCAACAATCCAAAAAAGCTAAATATTTCAAACCATCTCTCTTCGTTTATTTTTGAATGTATGCAGCCGTATATCCTTTCTGTGAACAACGAACTCTTTTATCTTTGTTTGAAACATTTTTGAATGTTATTTTGTGTCAAGTCATTTAATCTGTTTTATGAACATTTCCCCTCTTCATGACAATTCGTTAAAACTACAGATTTTAAAAATGTCTCATTTATTTTCCTGAAATGAGTGACTGACATAACTTCAAGCGTCTAAATTCATAAATAAAAATACCTTATTTTGTTTTGTTAAAATTCCCCGTGTGTTTCCTCGTTGTTATTATCGTTTATTAATCTTCTTAGCGTGGGTAAATTAACTGTTCATTTTAACCCCGAAGCCCCACGCTACTATAGACTCTCAACCCATTTTAAACTCGACCTTGAAAGACACATTTCTCATGTAGGTGTGCTGTTAAATACCTACTTTTGCCTAAATGAGTTGACATGAAGAATAGCATATGGATAACGTCGACCTTAGCTTTTCCACTGGGTTTAGGATGGAAACATAAATTATATGAGATTTGGCTGCTGAAAAGCTGAAGCAACATGAAGATGACACGAAACGTGCTAAACTCAACAACTGTTTTATTCAAATTGCCGCTCCATTTCCTTTTCTCCCAGCATTCCCTCTTGGAACCGGAAGTACTTACATTTCATCACTGATGTTAGGAATCATTAGCCTTAGAAATTATCGAGTATGCGTGGGGGTAAAGTTACTTTTACTATGTACACCAAAATTATTAATTCCATACGAAAAACTTTGTCAGAAAATCTTTACTGTAAGCAAATAGGTATCTAGCCTTCGAACGATCAACATATTCAGAGGCAGTAAAATTGTCGATTAATTTTCTTTAATACATAATCTTATTGACGTCCATGTGATATCTATGAAAAAACATATATAAATAAATGACTAGAATGTGTTTAGTTTACTTTTTAGAATTAGACAGTTTGTCCACAGTTTCGGAATTCGGCGCAGGCCAGGGGCAAATTGTGGTAACAAGTCGTGTCGGATTGTAACACTACCTCTTGTAGTCAGATGACCAATTTCTGTTGCAGCTGACAGCATGGACATCGAAGTAAAGGACATGCATACACAATAACCGTCGAGAAAATGTTAACGATTTTAAGAAGGTACTCTTTCTCTCTTCTCTCTTCCTATTCCATAAGAAATCATAATTCTTGGAAATGTGTTGATTTTGGTTGCTTCAAATTTTTTGAGACTTTTTTCAACGAATTTACAACCCCGAATGTAAATTAATAAAATAATTGCTGGAAATTTAATGTTAATTACAGCTGTTTTGTGTTTAAAAGAAAATCCTAAAACCGCTTTTCTTTTTTCATTGTATTATGCTCGCTAGCCCCACTTTACTTTGGGACTGACACAAATAAGAAGAATACTTTATCAACATCTAACAAAGATATTTATTTACACCTATGAATAAAACGGTTAACATAAAAACACTATGTCCTTTCCTATATACAGAGAATATGTCAGGCGGGCTTACCCATCTGGTGGAGTGAAATAGGGCTAAGTAGCTTGTACCTTTAAAATCTTCAGCAACTGGTACCGTTGGCGGTGGAGAGAATTTCTTGTGTGTTACTTCGGAGCAGGTCCGGTCCCTACTCTGGTGATGGTCAGCTTTTTCTGAACACACGTGGTTTTAGTAACCAATGAGAGACCGCCTAACATCACGTGACCAATCTCTCTATATACGAGCAGACGAATTTTAAAAACCCAACAACTGGTCTCGGGTGGTGCTGATAAACTTCATCGTTTGATAAATTAGAACACAACATGAGTTGTTTTCGTGCTGAGCTCTATATCGAATGACAATCTTCAATTCAAGCGACCCAGGCAAATGCCAGTGATCAACCTTTTAGATGAGCGAAATATCACATGTGCTGCCGATGATAAAAAAGACAATTTTCAGCTAATCACGGCCTAATCGTCATTGGTAGAGGTGGGTGGATAACACTTCAAAAGTAATTTAAAATGAAGTCGAAAATATATACTTGGATATTCGCCTATATGAGAATGCCCAAAACTTCCCAGAAGTACTAATCCCAAAATACTGTCAACCCGACTCAAGATTTAAAGTGGAATAAGAACAATAGTCTAAACTGGATTAAATAATAGTCTAAACTGGATTAAATAAAGGGTTCGAAAAATTCTGAAAAGGTTACCAAATACATAACAATTAAAAGAAATGCATAAGAAATAAATAGATAAAAATGAATTATAGTACCCAAAATAATAATAATAAAATAATTATAACAATTATACTTATCATTAATTCACTCTTTCCAAACCAGAGAGAATCGACCCTACTTTTCTTCTTTACACACATAGACACGTGACATTCTCATTATCTGAAAGGCTTTCAACACGTGCGTCGACGAAAATTTCGGCTCCATTTCCTTTTTCAGGCCATAATAGTAACATTTATCCCTTAGCACTCAACAAAAATTCGAGGTAAGAAAACCCCAGACACTTCTTATATTTTCCGACTGAATTATCTGGACACTTATTAAACACATATAAAAAACATACGAGAAAAACTGTATATAATTTACTTATTTTTTTATCTTATCATTCTGTCGGATTCCAATCCATATTTGATCTACATTTGACCCTAAACTCAGAATTTTACTCAGTATTACTCTCTCGTTTCTCCAACACCACATAACAACCAGATAATAAATAATACTCGTTTTGTTGTTTTCATGTCGTTGTTGTTTCTCACTTTTACGAGTATTTTTGTATATATAAATGTTAGGGGGTTTATAATTATTTACTAAGAGTTATAACTCCCCTACAAAGCTGAAGAAGGCTGAAGGGCACAACGACCGGAAACGTAGTGAATACAACAACCAAGATGAGTATACTAGTCCTATAATAATTTCTCATTTTTAATATTCAGACAGTTGACATTTTTCGTTGTTAAAATGTGAGAAACTTGACTGATTTCTGTAATGTTAAGAAAAATTTAAATGGTGACATTCGAGATTGATCCGAAGACCTCTCGATCTGTAGTTGAATGCTCTATCACTGAAATATACCCCTATTAATTGCGAGAAAAAGTACATAACGATTTAATTTATTAGGGGAAACCAACAACTGACCTGTTAAGTTCTCCATTCCTTTTACTAAATGTTTGCTCTTGATTTTTATTCAACACTTCTTTCTTTCTTTCTTTCTTTCTTTCTTTCTTTCTTTCTTTCTTTCTTTCTTTCTTTTAATGTGTCCTACTTTCTTTCTTTCTTTCTTTCTTTTTTTCTTTCTACCCCTTTCCTCCTCAAGAATTTTCTTTCTCTTTATCTTCTTCTTCATTACCAAATTATCACGTCTTTATCGTCAGATGGGAGAATAGGAAAAAGGTAAATTGCACTCAAGTCATCTGAACAATTTAAAAAAAAAAAGATTAATTATAAACTGAAAATTAAAGGGAACATCGGAGATTAAACATGAAACCTCAGGAGACGCACTTGAGTGCGCCACCACTGAGCTGTATCCACGGATTGTTGCTACTCGTTCATTTAATTTTCTATTCAATCAATAAAATAAAAAAAATTAATAAAATTATACTTTTTGTCAAATTTTCGTTTAAAATAAACACGAGTTAAAATTGTCAATCCTTTCAACAATTACAGGAATGGCGACAAGAAAATAACAGAATAACAAACAAAAAAACAATAAGAAGACGCTCAGGACTAAAGCTATCAATGTGAAAATAAATTTATTAAAAAAAACGTAACAAATACGAAGGGGACACCCGGGATTGAACCAGGGACCTCTCGATCTGCAGTCGAATGCTCTACCACTGAGCTATATCCCCACACGCAACTGATTGACTTACTTCCTATATATGGTTGATTTATTTTATGCTTTTTTTTCCTGCCGCAATTCTTATTCAGAAAACAGTGATTCTCTACATCGCGCAGTATTTAGTAAATTTATGTTGCCGATTATTTGTTCTTTAAAAATTGAACCCTTACTGGATGCCCAGTCTTTTTAGTAGCCTTGTGCTATATAATATAAGCTTAACTTCATGAAGAATAATCAATCAGAAAATAAAAATAATCATCAATCACAGAATTAAACAAGAACGCTGAATGGCTAATGAAAAGACCAATTAATGACGTCATAATACCCTAGCTATATAAGCACCAAATTCAAAAACTCATCCTATCATTTCGTTTGTTTGAAATATTTATTATAATGTTTGTTTGTCGATTTGGGTTTGTCCCTCCCCTCTCATTTTATATCATGTACAAATTGTTATGTATAGTATTACTATTTTATAATCATGAAATTAAATTTTTATGCCAAGGGGTGCGTTTTTTAGGTCCCCCACCCCTGGGAGAATGCGGTATTATGGTATATGGAGGATTGATTGGTGATGGATGAGTTTTTAATTGTAACGAATGAATGGGTCGTGAATCGGATTTGCTAGGTATAGGATAGCAAGTGACGACCAGCCTCAACCCCATTCCCTACTTTTTAGGCCTTTTGCCACAATTGTGTATTTTACGCAGTAAATCTTCTTAACATATAATGGAGCACCCTCTCTTAGTCTTTCACCGACCAGACAAATTGATCTGCATATATTTCACTTCACCTTCCAAAGACTGGAAGAGACACTTAGTACGTTTACAAGAAACGGAAGATTAAATCTACAGCAAGAAATGAAGACGCAAATCCGGTTCTCAATAATTTGTTCGTTTCAATGAGGTCCCCATCTCAGGCCGGACCTAGTATTCTCTCTGGTAGTAGGTAGATGGCACATAGGTCTCTTCGACACTTCTTACTTCTGCCGAGAGACAGCTACTGATCTGACAGATGGCTCCTCTCTCTCTCTGTTCATTTCTAACCGGGTCTCTACTTATACAATCGGAAATATCTGGTTTCCGACGAAGTGCAACTTGATCTCCGAGTTCATCTATTTGTTTATTATTTTCTTCCAGGTTTGTTTTCCTGCTTTGAACACTAAACTTTCCTCGACTTCAAAGACTTTATCTTCCTGCTATTAAAAAAGAACAGAGTCCGATAGCGTCATTTAGAGCCCATATTCAGCCGGTCGTCTAGGGAGGTTATTGTGCCACGACAGGCTTTAAAAGAAATAGGCATGTAATGAATTGTAGTTGTCAGCCATTGGGTAAATCGTTATTTCTCTACCGCAAAATTTCAATAAATAAATAAATTTGATTTAACCGCTATTGGAAATTTCGGTTTATTTTACCTTAAAATTGTCATGACCCCGACTTCGGCCTAGATTAAGCCTGGGTTTGACGGTCGGGCGATTATCAAGACCAGTATATTTTCATTTCGGTGCTTTAAGTTACAAGACAAGCCCACTTATGCGAGGAAGAAAATAGGCAAGTGAACTGCGACAAGCGGTTTATGGCTGTTGCTTTTATCTTTACGATTCAGAGGCTACTGCCAGATATCATCTGTAATTAGCCAAAACAGATTTCTTTTTTTTTTACACTAGTGTTCCCCCAATACAAGGCTCGAGGGTCACTCAAGGTAGAGGGCTAATGAATGAGTTTTTGTCCTAAAAGGAGGCAAGAAGAGTAGTTTATGAGGATATGAAGGATAGATAAGTGTTAAACATAAAGTGATTCAGATTGTAACAGTCGGAGAAGCATTATCTCGGGAGCCTGTTCCACAAAGCAGAGACTCCAAGGAAGAAGCTGTCCGAATGGGACTTCCTTCTTACTAATGTAATTTTAAGGAAAGGTAGATGATTCGACTCTGTTTACATGGCATGGTGGATCTTAGTTGTGATTGATTTTGTTTGAACTACAACTGAAATGATCGTTTTATTTTACCTTAAAGATTGTCATGCTCTTGGCCTCAGCCTGCACTTGATGGTGGGACGATTATCAAGATCAATATATTTTAAATTTGGTGCTTCCAGTTACAGGACAAGCCCGCTTATGTAAGGAAGAAGAAACTAAATGAACCGTTAGAAGTTGACCTGAGCTGATGGTTCCTAGTTCACAATTCAGAGGCAACGATCATAATGTGGTCACAAATTAGTCCAGATTTCTTTTATTATTTTTATTGTTCAACGGATGTCTCATGGGCACGTGACCGAATGGTTAGAATGTTATCGTTTGAATCTCACTATGGTCAATTTGTCAAAGTGGTGACCTTGATAATATCGGATTTGGGTGTTTTTTTCTGTGGAGCCCTCCCCTGGTTAGGCTAGACAAACTTTTGTGTACCTAGTTAATGTAAGTGTTGTTCCTGGCCTGCTCCCAGCTACATCTTTGGTTATGATCCAAGTTGAGATTCCTAACACCCCACCCAGTTTCTTTTGGCTCCCTTTTATCTCGACTGGTTCAACTTTATTGCATCCCTATGCCCGTCTATATTTTCTCTTTTCCTTCTCCCTTAGCGAGAGAGCCTCTTGATTTTGTTCAAAGGTCAGCGGCCTCTCCTTTTTGAGGGTTGGAGAGTCCTACTAACATCAGTTATATTTATTTTGCCTTGTTTTGATAATTAGTTTGTTTTAGGTCTCATCCCCGCTCTCATTGTCAAATATTAGATTATTATCTACGAAATATATATTATCATTAAATTTTTAAATCTCGGGGTGCGTTTTGTAGACCCCCCTGAGAGGATGCGGTATTATGGTGTATGGAGGATTGATTGGTGATGGGCGAGTTTTTGTGGTGAATGCGTAAATTGTAACGAGTGAATGGGTCGTGAATCGGATTAGCTTGGTATAAGATAGTGAAGACCAGCTTCAACCCCTCCCCCTCCTTTTCGGCCTTGTGCCATAATTGTATTTTTAATACAATAGATATCAATATCGGATTTGGGAGACAATCCAAGGGTGTGACGTAAATTGACGAATCGAATCTGTTCTGAAACCGTTGATGGCTGTGCTAATGCAGAATCAAAAGCCATCATTATGCGCTCACTCTCAGAAACTGTAACTAAGATCATCTCAGCATAGTAGCTGTATAAATTACGGGTTGGCTCTGTGGGTATTTGCTACAAGGATTAGATAGTCACCCTAGTAGTCCCCCTAAATTTCCAAATATTTAAGGATACCTACTACTACTACTACTACTACTACTTTGGTACTTTTCGTGGAAAGGTTATTTATATAAATTGGGTTACACTCCTTTCTACCCCCCAAAATGGTTTCTCTTTTCCTCCCACTCCTTTTGGTCTCAAATACAGAATTTTCTTCTCTGAAAATTGTTACTAACAGATGATTCGATAACGAATTTTCGCTTGTGTTGCCTTCGCTAGATCCTTTTCAGTTTTAAGCATTTCTATAGATTAAAGAACGAAACATTGCGGTACTTGGCTTCTTGTTGTTAGCTAGTATTGTCCATGTCAGTGAGACGATATCCTCTGCTGGTTTGCGTACCAAATCCAAAGGCATCGGACAACGCATTGATTCAACGACTTCCTGCATGAAGTGGAGCCTGTTGTTGTTGTTGTTGTTATTATTATTATTATTCATAAAACAAACACGCTATTCCACTTATTGATCCTACCGTTCAACACACTTAGCACATCCTTTTCTCAACTTTCTGTTAACACTTCCCCTAACAGGGTTATTGAAAAAAGAGGAAATATATTTGTTTTATCTACTCCCCAAGGTCCTTGTATAAAAATTATTTGAAATCGTATAATAAATAAGATAAAGATTGACATCGTAAGTTTTTGAAGATCAAAGTTGACTGGAAATCAAGAAGTCGGAAGAGAGTTCCACAAGCGAGAAGTGCGAGAGAAGGAACTGTGAGCATAGAACTTACGGTTACATCTAGCCATTTCAATTGTAAAATGACGAGACCTAGCCGCCAATCTAGTACTGCGTTTAAATTCATAAAATCTCGATACCATAGATGAAAGTTCATCAGAACAATTACCGTGAAAGTATTTATAGAAAAGGCACAGGGAAGGTATGTTAAGGGGGTGGGAAAGGGATCGGAGCCGAGATGCCAGGTCAGGGCCTATAACAGACGACTTTGGAATCTCCTGCAAATTTTCAGGACGATCGCCAATAATCCTTGCCTTCAGTTCCACTTTGGTGTTACAAGGATGTTAATTGGGTGGGATTGGAGCCGAGATGCCAGGTCAGGATCAATAATATTGCAGATTCTTCTTTGGGTTTTGGGAATAATCTCCACATACAGGGTGGTATAGATAAATTGTCTAAATTACGCAAAAATGAAAATAACACTTCACATCTCATTTTAACAGATATATTGACCAAAATTACACAAAAACATTTTGAAATACTAAAGAGTAAATTTATACAATAAAATCACTTCAACCATTGCCTTCAGACGGCTTTGGAATCTCCTACAACTTTTCAGGACGATCTCCTTGTTTAAGTTGGTGAATGCTCCAATAATCCTTGCCTTCGGTTCCACTTTGGTGTTACAAGGATGTTAAGCGGGTGGGAAAAGGATTGGAGCTGAGATGCCAGGTCAGGACCAATAACATTGCAGATTCTTCTTTGTATTTTATCAAAAAATCGCTGAATACATAGCATAAGCACCGGACCAGATGTAGCAGAAATATTCAATGCTTTATGATTTATAAATGTATAAGATTCTGGTGGGGAAAATTATCTAGCAGCACACTGTTAACCAACTTTCTTAATAACAGACCAAGCAGTCGGTTCAATATAATCTTTTCACTTCATGTCAACGGAAAACGTTAAGGCTCAATGAGTAACTTTCCTGTAGGTTAGCATCAGCCATGCTGGTGGAGGGCTAAAATTGTTCTCTCAAACGAGTAAAAGAGAGCAGTTTCGTTTTGAAGACGTTAAAATTGATTAGCCATTCCTTGCTCCAGTTAACAACAGATTGTAGATCATTTTTTTTAGATCAGCTGTCAATTTGACCTATCAAACTGATCAGATTTACTATTAAGACAGGAGTAAATAGATGTGTCATCAGGATAGATACCTATTTGAAAACTGATGACATTAAGAAAGTCACTGATGAAAATTAGGGAAAATGTAGGTCTAAGGATAAAGCACCTGCTTTAATGCAAAATGATCTAGAAGAGTGGCCGTCCAGAACAACTTTCATTTCGCGATTTGATAAGAAAGACTGAATCAGTTCAAACATTCATCTAGAAATACCATAAACTTTCAACTAATGAAGAAGACCAGCATGCCATACCCTGTCAAATGCTTTCAAGATATTAAAACGGTTGACCTAGAGAAGCGAGAGCCATATTGATTATCTGAAAGAAGACCCTACGAAGTGAGATGCTTAACCAATTCTGTGTTCTTGCCAAAAGGAGGCAGAAGGCTAATATAGCGACAGTTGGAAAGATTAGACGTTTCGGAACTGCAGAAGATAATTTACAAGGAGGGGGAAAGAAAAAAGCAGTAATGCATTTACTGTGGTCTTTAGAGAGAACAGGAAATATTCCAAGGAAACATTTCTTAAGGACTATTGCTTTGTGAGGATCCAGTTTTGATAGCAGAAACAATGGACGAAATTATATGTATGGAACTCAATAGAAACTCGCTTCTAAGTGGAAAGTCAAGATACTCCAGATGAATCAAGAGTAGAATTTGAAGATAATTTACGAGCAAAACATTCTGCTTTATCAGCAGAAGATGTTAACACCTCAAACTGAGTGAAGAGATTAGGGATAGAAGACTTACTATTATTTTAGACAGAATTACAGAGACGTCAGTAGTCACGAGAACCAAACTTGTTCGAGCCGATACAAGGCCTCATTTTATCATCAAATAAAGAAAGTCATTGATGAAAATTAGGAAATTTTCCTCTTTAAGGACAGGTTTATAATTATTATAAGGAGGCACAAAGAGGCGTCTGTTGTGATTGGAACTATCACACTGGTAAAACCGAGAAAAAAGTTATTCCTGTAGGTTATAGCGGTTGAACAGGGAGGTGCGAACCAAGAAGAAGATTTTTGTTTCACCTGGTATTTCCAAGAATGTATAAAAGCATCGATGCCGGCTTTAACTCAAGAAGAAACATCTGTGGCACAAAGCTCAGTAGGAAGGTTAAGAATA